CCGTTGACATATTGAATATTTCTCCACGAACTTGGCGACGTCTCTTCGTAGGTGTGGCCAAAAGAAACGGGCCTAAAGCAGCTCCAAGGTTCGATCACGCCCAGCATGAGCCGCCAGGCCTCCGCTGTGCAGCTCTTTAATTAATTGGGGTCGCCATGAGGAATCAGGAATACACAAATTGTTGCCTTTAAATAAGAAGCCCTGCTGTACCGAGAAATCCTGTTGGGGGTGCCCGTCCATGCAAGCCTTCCAAATTTGAGAGAAATCCTTGTCCTCTGCATATAGCTCCTTCAGTTCTTGCAAGCCCGTGACTTCAGATTGCAAATGGATAAGTAGCGTTGCACGCCTACTAAGGGAATCAGCCACGCGATTAACACGCTCGGCCTTGTGTTTGATCACAAAACTGAATCGCTGAAAGAAAACAATACACCTTGCGTGCATGCGATTGATTGTTTTTTGATTGTTAATATATTGCAATGCTTGGTTATCGCTGCACAACACAAAATCCTTGTGCAGCAGATAGTGCTCCCATTGTTTGAGAGCTTGTACGATGGCGTACAGCTCTTGTTCATAGGCGGACCACTTTTGCCGTGCGGAGCTTAGCTTTTCACTGAAATACTTGATCGGCTTCCCATCTTGAGTCAATACAATCCCCACACCGATGGTGACGCCGGAGCTGAGCCGTTATTTGTATTAAACTTCAGGCTATATTAATGTCATTTGGTAGTATATGGATATAAAGGTTTAATGCTTTCTTATTATGTATGTAGCCTAGTATGATGCTTCCTTGTTGGCTATAAATAGATAGCCAAGGTCTTGTAATAAGGAGATTTGAGATGAATAATATTTGAGTAGTTTTACTCTTGTTTTGGGTTTCTGTATCCTGAAGGATTTCAGGTGGTGATCCCTCTCTTCCAAGGAGTTCTTGGAGTTATCCGACGACCGCCACCGGATTGTCGACGTGGATTCGTCGAGACCCCTCCGGTCCGGTGTCATTGCGGAAGCATCGGTCTCAACTTGGAAAGGCTTGTAAAAATTGGGAAAAGCTAATACTGGCGCGGAGCTGAGAGCCAGTTTAATTTTGTCAAAACTTTTCTGTTGTGCGGCGGCCCACGTGAAAGAGGAAGATTTTAAGCAGTTCGTGATCGGGGTCATGATGCTGCTAAACCCCTTGATGAATCTCCGGTAATAATTGGCTAGCCCATGGAAGCTCCGCACGTCCGTGAGGGATGTAGGTACCGACCACCCAATAATTGCCGAAATCTTTTGAGGAGAGGTTTTAATCCCATCAGGCATTAATACCAAAACCTAAGAAATTGACATTAGTTATAGCAAATTCACACTTAGTCAAATTATGATATAATTGATATTCACGGAGAGTTTCCATAATGGATCAAAGGTGGCCAAGGTGTTCCTCAAAAGAATTACTGAAGATAAGAATATCATCAAAATACACCAAACAGAATTTATCTAGGTGAGGCCGAAGGATGTCATGCATAAGCCTCATGAATGTGGACGGAGCATTGCAAAGCCCAAAATGCATGACCTTCCACTCGAACACTCCATCGACGGTCTTGAATGTTGTCTTCCATTCGTCGCCCAGTCGGATGCGAATCTGGTGATATCCGCTCCTCAAGTCTAGTTTGGAGAATATTGCAGCTCCGGCAAGTTTGTCCAACAGATCAGAGATTCGCGGGATAGGAAATATGTACTTGACGGTGATGCGATTTATTGCTCGACTGTCGATGCACATACGCCACTGGATGTCCTTTTTCGGAACAATCAACGCCGAGCCAGCACAGGGACTCAAGCTTGGCTGAATGATCTGCTTTTCCAACAACTATTGCACTATCTTTTGTAAGACTATATGTTCCCGGGGGCTCATTCGGTAATGGGGCAAATTGGGTAAGACCGCTCCAGGAATGAGCTCAATTTGATGTTGTATACTTCGCATAGGGGGTAATGTTGTTGGTAACTCCACAGGTGTGACATCCGAGAACGAATCGAGCAATGACTGTACTTCTGGACGCTGAGGTGCGGGCTCATTTACTTCCGTATCAGCAGCCACTAGAGCTAGCAACGGACAGTCATTGGCAACACTTTGCACGAAGTCACGCCCAGCCATAAGGCAAGCCGACGTGAGGCTGGTATGATTTGCCGTGGGCATTGCACTGGCCGGCATCAGTTTTAATTTCTTCCCCTTCCATTCCACAGTATATGTGTTAGCTCTGTCATCATGCACCGCACCCGAGTCGTATTGCCACGGTCTCCCCAAGATTAAGTGGCAGATGTCCATTTCAAGGACATCGCAAGTGACTTGGCATAGATACTTTTTTCCTATGGTTAATGTCACTTTACATAAATCTGAGACAAGGAAATCAACACCCTTCTTCACCCAGCTGATCTTAAAAGGGTTTGGATTTCAAGTGGTTTTAATTTGCAAAGCTTGGACGGCAGCTTTGGAAATGATATTTTCTGTGCACCCGCTGCCAATCACGAGATCACAAATCTTATCACTAATAGTACACTTGGTGCGGAATAGACTATGTATTTGTTTCTCTACTGGTCTTCGTGGCGCTAACAGCAACTTTTCCAAAACTCCCAAGACAGGTTCTCCTTCATCAGCCCCAAGCTCTTCAATCCCTTCTTCCATGTCCTCCAGCAACTCAGCTTGACTGTGTTCTTCCTCACCTTCAGCAAGTTGCAATTGGTGGCGAGTCGGGCATTCGTTGGATTTATGTCCTGGTTGCAAGCCCCTGAAACACTTGATAGTGTGGGGCTTGGCATATGGATTTTCTCAAATCAGAGCCTTCTATCTTACCGGTCCTTTTACTTCCAGGGCGGCATTAGCGGTACCAGGCGAGATTACATTCTGAGCTTTTGGCTGCTGGGTAGTTGTCCGTGACTGTGATGCACCACTTTTCGGGAAAGCTTGGCGCGAGGCACTGGATTTGTATTGACCATGCTGCTGAGCCTCCGCTTTGAGAGCGAAATTCACCGCCTGGGATAAGGACCAAACCGAATTGAGTTTCAGTTTATCTTGTAGAGTCTCCTTCAAACCTCCAATGTATCACGCCACTAGTTGGTTTTCAGATTCCAGCAAGTTATAGCGCGCACTCAATCTATAGAACTCCTCAATATATTCACTAACCGTTCTTTGACCTTGCCGGCATTGTTGGTATTGGAGGTATAACAATTGTTCAAAATCTGAAGGAAGGAAGTGCCGCCTCATGAGCTGTTTCATACGATTCCAAGTTCGAATGGATCCCTTGCCTTCCCGCTGCCTGTTCTGGAGTAGCTGCATCCACCACGCGTTCGCTCCTCCCTTGAGCCGGCAAGCCACATATTTAACTTGCTTCTCCGGATTGATTTCCATATAATCAAAAAAATTCTCTACGGCTCCTTCCCAATCTAAGTAGTCTTCCACGTGCAATCTTCCATCAAAATATGGAATATCCAGTTTGATACGGAATCCTTCGGGTTCGTGCCTCTGGGGTCGGAGTCGCCTTCCTCGACCCATAGGCGGAATAAGAGTCTCTCCCTCCGATTTCGAATGCTCCCGCCGGGGAATATCTTCTTCATCGGAATCTGAGTATTCCGGTAATAGAACAGGGGCTCTTCTCGGAAGATGACCCAGCCTCCAATGTGGCCTCTGCTCCGGTAAGGCTGCCGGAGGGAAATGTTGAGCTACTGGGTTGGTAGTTAACCTGATTTGACGCAATTCCGTTCACATTTCTTCTGCAAAATGAGCGAACGTGCTCACCAACTCGTCCAACTGTTTGAACGTCTGTTGATGCGTCTCCCAAAGGGCTTCAAGACTACGATCTCCGTCGTGTCGAGGGTGGCTGTTGCCTTCTGCCATTACCACGAACAGCCCAGCTCTGATACCAAAATTATGGTGCAGCAGCAAGGAAGGAGAAAATCAAGAACTCAAAAGGAACAAACCAATGGAACAGTGCTTCCTAAGAAGTTTTGTATATTTTTCATTCTACCATCTTCTCTGCAAGCAAACCAGTATATAGCTGGTTTAGAAAACTAAACATTACTAGGTAAAGGAAAACAGCTAATAACATAAGGACAGTACTATGATAACAGAAATGCAAGTGCAGCAGAAAAGAAAGTGGTGGGTGCAATGTAATAAGTAGTCCGCCGGTGCACAATAAGCCCAGGTGGTAAGATAGATGACCGCATCATAAGTTTTGCAACAAGCTAATTGATTAGATTTAACACCTAATGTAGCGCTCAGCCAAAAATGAATGGGAAAGGAGAACTCACGAAGCTAGCCAAAATAGTTTGGATAAGTCAGATTATGGTGGTGATCATAATAAGGATTATAATGGTTCAGTCATTAAAGCCTAGCCACACATATAAATATAAATTACCCACCATCAATCTCAAAATCGTCAAGTTTCCATCATTAATTTTGACAACCTCGTGTCAAATGCAAAACATTAAAAAATAGTTTAACATCAAATTGGCAATGTTTAAAAACACAGAAAAAACTACATTTTCTATCTAGAACCATCTCTTCTCATGACAGTTGATCTCCAACAAATCAATGTGGCCTTCTCTATTATGTGCAAATATATTAATTGAAGATTAAAATTAATCTTCTTGCTTTTCTTTGCTTATTATACTTTGAATCTCACGCCTTGCTTCTTAGAAAATATTTTGAGGTGAGGGAACACATAACTTCCATTTAGCCAGATAAACAGCACTATGAAACCAAATAATTCCAAGTTCTAGGCCATAATTCCTGATCTCCAGCATTCAAGTACGAATGATAATAAAGCAACATGTTACACTTGGAAAAATAAAATTTCATCAAGCATATCCAACTGAAAACTAATTACCATATCCAAAATGAAAGAATGCAAGAAAACCAATAGTAAGATACGTTCTCCATATATCCGATTCACGGAAGCCCCCGTTAATTACAAATACGTAACGGAAAGCTACAATCCGTCGAAAACAATAAACCAAATAAGACACGAAAGGACCTGGCGATCGACCGCGAAAGGCATGCGCTCTGAGATCCCAGCGAGATATTCCAGAAAGCGTTCAATCAGATCGATAAACTCTTCCTTGGCGGAGTCTGCCGGACGGCGGACTGGCTCCGCCGCCATTTCCGGCATCAAAAAAACCCTAAATGCTTCGAAGATGCCGCTTCAATGGCTCCATCGAAGTAAAGAGAAAAGCAGAAAACTTAACCCTGGTGAAAAATTTTCGGCTCCAGCAATGGAATCGAAGTCAGAGATAGAGAAACATAAAGCGGTATGAGCTCTGACTCGGAAATCGAGGAAAAGAAGACCGGGATTTCAGCTGATTCCGCTCCACTTCATATAAGAACATTTCACTAACAATTTGACAGATTTCCCAAAAAAAAAAAAACAATTTGACAGATCAGTCTGCCATTTTTAACCGTGTGATCATCTCACATGGTATGCTTCAACATTTTGCAAGAAAATTATGTGGTATAATTTATACAATATAGCATAAGGTGTATTTGCTTATGTGAAATAATAAGAATTTTAATTCGGTGAAGATAGAAACTTTTTTTCTATAAAGATACTTTTTTAATTAAAAATATTAATTCATTGTGGAGCTAATGAGCCCGAGCTCAAATTTTATCGAAGAACTTCACCTAATTCGAGCTCACGAAAAAATGATTAACTAAATATTGAATCATATATGAGTTGATATAAACTCGATTCATTTATGCTCGTAACTCATTCGTCTTAAGAGAACTACTCTTTTACATCTGAATCAAGGCTTCGTTGAATTAGAAATTTTTGTATTAAAAGACTGTTTTAAAAAGCCACAAAAAAATTGTTTCAAACGAAACCTAAACTTACTTCAAAAGATATATTATGAATGTTATGAAACCTATCAAAAGATTTTTTTAGAAATTATACTTGAGATCTTACCACTAATGAAATTGATACATTTAGTTGTGCAAAAATCACAATGTAAATGAACCAAAAAAGCATTAAAGGTCAAGTTTTAGAGAAGACAATATTTTTTCTACAAAGTTGTTGATATGAAGCCAACTGGCAGAAAAATCAATAAGATTAAAGTTCTTTAGTCGAGAGAACAAAAAAAAAGTTTTATCGATCATGACTTGTGTCATTTATAACTAGCATCGTAATTTGAAATTGAGAAAGAAAAACTTAGATTCCTAGATAAATAAATTATAACAGGCATATTGAAATGATGAAGTATTTACAATCCTATAAGTATAAAAAATGCTTATAGGAAATAAAGAAAAGTCGGATAGACTAATTATATATAGATACAATCAAAGTTATTTGATTCGTTATATAGTCATGTACGAGTTAAGACTATCATTTTCTAACATATTAAGATAACACCTAAGCACATTACATATAAAAGAAGCTCTATCGTAAGGGGTCATGCATCTATATAAGTTATTTATACTTAACTGAGAGATACTTCTATATGTTTGTTGACTAGCTATGAAATGATTGTGTGCCAATGTGTAGAGGTTTTGATCATTGGCAAGCTTTATTATGTACTTTATCTAAAAGATATAGAAAGAATATTTTATCTATTAAAAGGTTGCTTGAGAGAGCTTTAATTTAATGATTTTTTCAAACTAATTTTTAGGAAATTATCTATTTAGTAAAAAAAAAAAAATTCTTAAAAAGTTGAATTGAAGATCATCATTGCATAATAAATAGACTTCATGATGTTGGTGCTCAAAGAGATGAACAATCTTCCCTACTCACACTCAAAGCAAAGGGAACTCACATTGGTCTTTCCACTAAGACGGCTCTATTTATCATTGGAATTGTGTTGTTAGTGCTATTCATATGATGCTCGAAGTTTATTGACGAAAACTATCAATGATAGCATAGAATGACAAAAGTGTGTATTTGTTTATTAACCTCAATTTTAAATGACCTCGTCAAAATATCATATGCTTAGCCTTAATTCTCAACATTATCTTCTTTGGTGCACAAAGCCTTCTCTATAAGACCCGCATAGGTGGATTCCTAAATCCTAGGATATTCTTCCCCATAAGAACCTTGAGACCCTAAGGCTAAGTTAATCATAGCTTTTCCTAAGTGGAATCCAAAACCCTTAGAAATTGTAATGATTGTATGTATAATAATTAAACTTTGTGAAATGACTTAATTATGATATTGTAAGATTTTCATGTTTACGTGACATTTATTAATTTTTTGTGAATTATTAAGGCTGTATTAATATTTCTAGTTGAAGTTTGAAGAAATTTTGATGAGTTAGAGGCTTAGAGTTGACTCTTTGGGGCGCTACAGCACTGTATTATTGGTGTTGGCCTTTGTAGTTGTGGCACTATAACGCTGTCATGCGTCACTTAACTTAATTTGAACAAGTCTTGAAGTTTTTGAAGAACCTTATGACACTCTCTTAATTGGATCACTCCCTAGAAGTTTTTGAAGAACCTTATGATGACCCCACCATATTAACCTTAGGCCAACCTTAGGTTAAATCCTAGAAACTACTAAAAATATACCAAACCTTAGGACTTACCTTTAATAACTACTTATATAATAATCAATTACATGTAATGATCTGAACTGATCTGGTAAGACTATCATGTTTAAAATTCTATATTTTTTTAGTTTTATTGTGAATGTTTCTATGTTATAGTCTCAATGGTTCAATGGGTTTGAATGGGAATAAAAAATCTATCTGTTGAAAATTTCTTACGTGTACTATGACGTTTGACTTCTAGGCACCATAGAGATGAGCTCTTTATATTTCTTACGTGCTGGGTTTTGAGTGGTGGTGCATTCTAAATTTTTATATAAATATCAAAATTAACTTTGATACGTCGTCATGAAATAATCTTGATCGGGCACGAATCTCGAGGAAAAAATCAACCCGGAAACTTCAAAAATTAAATCCGGAAGCACCGGAACTCCGATTTCAGCGAGCTTATAGTCAAACTGAGCGTCTTAGAAATACGAACCCAACGACACCAAATTCAACCCAATCCGAGCCCAAATAGATCAAAATCAACAGTCTCCGATTTTAACGAGCTTATACTCGAATCGAACGGCTCGATGAGACGAATCCAACGAGCCCAAGATTGCCGAATTCCGACATCATTAAGGCCTCCAAATGTCCAACGAACGGTGCACAATCGAAGGGTTCAATATCGGGACGTCCATTCGACCACTCCCTATTTGCCCATGATCTCACACCTATTTACAAGCCATGCCACTCCAGAAAACTATAAACAGAACCCTCATTCTTCACAAGAGGACTCAAGTGAGAAGAGAAAGAAGAAGAAGAAAAAGGGGAAAGGGAGAATCATCTCCTCCTCGAAATATGTTGGGTTAGTTGAAAAAGTTGGGTTTGATAGGGTATGAGTTGTCTGAATCGAAATATGTTACATTTACGCTATCTCTATTTTTGATAATATGAGTTTTTACCAAATTTCTGACTTTTGATTGCAGAAATGATAAAAAAATAGATTAGGCTACATTAATATCTAAAAAATTTTCATACATTATTATTTTCATTATTCTACATATTTTGAGCTACTTATTATTAATTTCGCGTAGTATTTCTAACTATATTATATTTTAAGTATTTTGATAGGGTATGATAATACTGATGAAGTTTGAAGTTTTGTATATTTTTATGAAGTGTCTAATATTGTTTATATATAATGAAAGTGTTGATATTTTTATGTTTGTATGATTGAAACTCTGTGAAGGAAGGAAATGATGGTGGCTGATTATTGATGCTCATGTACATCCAAGTAGAGAGATAAGGGTTTGAAATTGAAAGAATGAATGTATTATATATTGGAAATCATAAGGGTCTGATACCAATGAGCTATGCAGTGGGATTTATAAAGGTCTGATTCTATATCTATGAAATATTTAAGAGGTATAAGAGTCTAAGAGGAGATAGATGTGGTCTGTCACAAGAGACTGATGCATAATGTTTAGTTATGTTGACACTAAAAAGAAAAGCTAAACATTTAGACTTCGTTTGGGACGGCTTTCTTATTGCTTCTTAAAGCTGTTTTCTAGTACAAAAATTAAAAATTTTGTACTAGAAAATTACTTTAAGAAGCGGCAAAAAAACCGTCCCAAACGAAGCCTTAATGTTTGAGATGATATAGTGATTCTGAAATCGCATAGCTAAGCATAGATTCACTCAAAAAAAAAAAAAAATTCTGCTTATGCATAACTCACATCCCATTTCATAACCACAAAATGCCCCATAGATTTATAATTGAAAATAAGAGTGAGTAACTAAGTCGCATTCACTATCATTATAGGTGTAAGTGAACTGAGCTAGCTCAAACTCAACTCGATTATAGGCTTGTGAGCCGAACTTATCAAGCTCATGAGTCGTGCTCAAGCTCAAACTCAAGCTCGTTTAGTAAACAAGCTTGAACCAGCTCGGCTCGTGAATTAACAAGACAACTCGAATAATTATTAACATTTTTAAATAATTATATTTCATTAGTTAAATTTAAATATTTAAACAACTTAATAAGAATCACCTAAATTTTATTTAAATATTAAACATTGCATTTCTTTTCTAAAACCCGTGTAAGTTCTGAAAATCCCGCTTAAGTTCTAAAAATTCCGCTTAAGTTTTAAAAATCCCGCCTAAGTTTAAATAATCCTGCCCATGGCTCATGAACTGGCTCAAGCTTGTTTACAGTAGAACGAGCTCGAATTCGAGCTCACCTGTCACGCTCATCTCGGGCTCGCTTTCAGACTGACAAGCCGAGCTAGATAAGGCATAAACTCGACTCAACTCGACTCGTTTACACCCCTAACTACCACAAATAAAAAATCCTGCTAACAAGTCAGTGGACAATAAATATTGCAGTATCCTGAACCATTGACATAAAGAAACAACCTCAAAACAACCTCAAATAACTAAATCCCAAATCGTTTCACAATCTCCTACTCTCAACATGACAATTGTAATTGCTGACCGCAAAAGAGCTTTCCTATTAAAAAAATAAAACAAAATTGTAGCAAGAAAACACTACACAAACACCAGCTGGTTACTTTGCAGTAGCTTTTGCCACAAAAATGGCAGATAGCCCAACAAAATGAACTCTTAAACACCATGGATTATTTATATGGCTACATTGAGATATAAATTGTAAGATTGGAATCAAGAATATCAATCATGAGTAATCAATCTTAATTCCGCTAGATTTGGTAAGACAGCTTTTGCAGAGTTACTCGTCAGTAAACTGAACAAAAAAAAGTAGCTGATGGGGGCTTTAACATGATTGGCATGTCATGCAAATAAAGAATACTTTCATAAGAAAAAGACATTATAGTTTCGTTTTGCGTCACAAAGCAATTTTTTAAACTAGAAAGCTGCTTTAAGAAGAAACAAAAAAAGCTGTCTCAAACGAAGTCTATATCTATGAATTATTTTGCTTCTTGGAATATTTCTTACAGTAAGTGGCTTTACATGACTCGATAATATAACGAACATGAGGATCATCTTTTGTTATTCTCTTCAGAATGTTGGATGCTTCATTGATTTCATCGGACGCTAATAGAGCTTGATACATCCTGCCAAGACATTTTTAGGACCAGATTAGCGAGTGCAAAGTGTAAGCAGAGAAGAAGAGAACAAATTTCATAACCACAAAATACCTACTAAGTCGCATTCACTATCACTATGAGTGTTAAGTGAGTCGAGCTGTCTCGAACTCGACTCATTTATAGGCTTATGAGCCGAAGTTATCGAGCTCATGAGTCGAGCTCAAGCTCAAACTCAAGCTCGTTTAGTAAACAAGCTTGAGCCAACTCGGCTCGTGAATTCACGAGCCAGCTCGAATAATTATTAACATTTTTAAATAATTTTATTTTATTAGTTAAATTTAAATATTTAAACAAATTAATAAGAATCAACTAAAGTTTATTTAAATATTAAAATTGCATTTTTTTTTTCTAAATCCCGTGTAAGTTCTGAAAATCCCGCTTAAGTTCTAAAAATTCCGCTTAAATTTTACAAATCCCACCTAAGTTTAAAAAATTCCGCCCATGGCTCATGAATTGGCTCGAGCTTGTTTAAAGTAGGACGAGCTCGAATTCGAGCTCACCTGTCACACTCAACTCGAGCTCGCTTTCAGACTGACAAGCCGAGCTAGATAAGGCATAAACTCAACTCGTTTACACCCCTAACTACCACAAATAAAAAATCATGCTAACAAGTTAGTGGACAATAAATATTGGAGTATCCTGAACCATTGACATAAAGAAACAACAACCTCAAATAACTAAAACCCAAATCGTTTCACAATCTCCTACTCTCAACATGACAATTGTACTTACTGTCCGCAAAACAGCTTTCCTATTAAAAAATAAAACAAAATTGTAGCAAGAAAACACTACACAAACACCAGCTGGTTACTTTGCAGTAGCTTCTGCCACAAAAATGGCAGATAGCCCAACAAAATGAACTCTTAAACACCATGGATTATTTATATGGCTACATTGAGATATAAATTGTAAGATTGGAATCAAGAATATCAATCATGAGTAATCAATCTTAATTCCGCTAGATTTGGGGGCTTTAACATGATTGGCATGTCATGCAAATAAAGAATACTTTCATAAGAATAAGACATTATAGTTTTGTTTTGCTTCGCAAAGCAATTTTTTTAACTAGAAAGATGCTTTAAGAAGAAACAAAAAAGCTGTCTCAAACGAAGTCTATATCTATGAATTATTTTGCTTCTTGGAATATTTCTTACAGTAAGTCGCTTTACATGACTCGATAATATAACGAACATGAGGATCATCTTTTGTTATTCTCTTCAGAATGTTGGATGCTTCATTGATTTCATCGGACGCTAATAGAGCTTGATACATCCTGCCAAGACATTTTTAGGACCAGATTAGCGAGTGCAAAGTGTAAGCAGAGAAGAAGAGAACAAATAAGAAAATCTAGTTCCGTAAGTTGCATCTCTCAGAAACAGAGAACATTGTAAAAATTATAAAAAATAAAATAAAATTGTGGTGCTTAAAATCGAGACAAAATTTACTCAACTAATCATATTTGAATACAAAAGGTTTTGAATAATTATCTGAGATAATTCCTTAATAAATTCTGGAATAATTCGAGATCAAATAAATTAATTAATTATGAGCCATCATCATCTCATCAGTTCTATTTTCCATCACCTTCTCTGTTATATTAAAACATGAAATGGAGAAATGATATTGATGTAGGAACCTCATAGCTATTATTAGCTTAAGGACTAGCATATCTTTAATATTCTAGATAGTTCTATTTTGCTCTATAAATAGCTAGTTAATGTAAGGGAATGGGACAATTATTGAATGAAATATTATAATCTTTGAAGTCTTAGAGCTTGTGTTTGTGTCTTTGTTCTCTTGATTGGGAAGTCCCTTCTTACATGTCAGATTCTTCCGACGATCACCACATCAGTTTGATATTGAGCCTGGAGCTTGCGAAGATCGATGGACTGCAGAAGAAGGTGGGTTGTCGACAATGATCGAAGCCAAAGAATAAGATTGGCGGTCAACGACGATCGACGCCGAGGAACCTGGGCTGTCGACGATGATCGAAGCCGTATAGCCTTTTATCAAGCTCAAGTGAATGAATCACTTGATCAGATAGACAAAAACCTTCTATCCATCAGAAGAATGCGAATGTCGTCGGCAACCATACCGGCATCTTCGTCTTCGCTCCTCTCATCTGCTTCACGCGATCGCAAACGGTTCTGAAATCAACCGGTTGTGCTTGACGAGTACCCTCCGCTCGATATTCTGCTCCGATGGTGCGACCCCCCTCCGCTCAACGCCAGATCCGTGATCCCGAACAACACCAACGTCCACGAACAGAGATCGTCAATCCGCTTATCAAACCCGTGCCTCCACCTCCGCTTCTGCATACTCCTTTCCCCAAGCACCCCCTCCCGCTGCAATATGAGATTTCCCGATCAGATACGTCCACACTCGCCTGACCGCCTCCAGCTCGCGAACATAACCGTGATTCCACGACTAGCGTCAAGATTGATTCCGCAGCTTGCATCCAAACCGATCTCCCACAGCCTGACTCCGCTTCTGCCTCAGCTTCCTCCCGCGACCCAACGCAGCTCCCGTCGTTCGCTCCATCTGATTCTCCTACATGTCCTCCACCGCCGGCTCCGGTTGCTACTAATTCTAACCCTCCTAGATCTTTGTGCTGCCACCCGCGGCCTCTTCGGCCTTGCCGTCAAGCAACCCCACTCTGCCACTAGCTTCCCCATCTAGACAAACGATTCATTGCATTAGCAACTCGGCTGGAGCCAGCGGTAGTCCTAGGATGTCCGGGACACCAACCAGTACAATCCAGATCGCCATGGTACGACTCGAGGACGAGTTCCGCCACATCTGGTATCCCGTGCGATCGCATTTGAGACTGATTCGATCGTCGATCTGAGATCACTCTCCCTCCCCCGATCCGATTCCGATAACTTGGTGTCAGATCTACCCAAGCCTAACGCCGCGGAAGAGGGATTGGACCTTCGGCGGAGCATGGGGAGCAGCACGTCGAGCTACCGTTCCACAAGCAGCATCCGTGAGATCGATCTCCTCCCTAATGATGCTACTCAGGATCTCTGCAGTATCGCTGACCGAATGATTGTTGCCAGCTACAGTCACGAGTGTTTTCAAGTTTATGGAAGCGTCCGCAAGTCTGCGGTGGAGCTCTGTTTCTGCCATCTGGGAATCGAGAGGCTCAACATCGGCAATGTTCAGCGGCTGGACTGGGTCTCTCTTGGAAATCAACCTTTACAGGATCTCATCTTCCGCCTCCAGATTAGTCAGCAACAGGTTGAGGTAGATGCTTCAATATTGGTTCCAGGAGATCCTTTGAAAATTGATCAGTCCGCTCTCACGGGAGAATCCCTAACAGTAACTAAGTACCCTGGTAATGTTGTCTACTCTTGTTCAACTTGTAAACAAGGAGAAATAGAAGCAGAGGTTATTGCTACTGGAGTTCATACTTTCTTTGGCAAAGCAGCTCATCTTGTGAACTCCACTAAGCATGGTGCCATAACAAAAAGGATGACAGCTATAGAGGAAATGGCTGGGATGGATGTTCTATGCAGTGATAAAACAAGAATTTTAACACTTAACAAGCTCACTGTCGACAAGAATTTGATTGAGGTCTCTGCCGAAGGTTATGACAAGGATTTGGTAGTTTTAATGGCTGCAAGGGCATCAAGGCTTGAGAATCAGGATGCCATTGATACTGCAATTGTATCCATTTTGCCGGACAAGAAAGAGGCACGTGCTGGTATTCAAGAGGTTCACTTCATTCCTTTCAACCCAACTGACAAGAGAACAGCTCTCACATACTTAGATGCTGCTGCTATAATGCACAGGGCAAGCAAAGGTGCACCAGAGCAGTTTCTCAGTCTTTCATGGGGCAAGTCAGAAATTGAAAGGAAAGTGCATGCAACTATTGAGAAATTTGCTGACAGAGGGCTTTCTTCTCTTGCTGTTGCATATCGGGCTATACCTGAGGGGACTTCAGGGTCCAAGGATTCTGCCGGAGGACCATGGGAGTTTGTTGGACTTCTTCCACTGTTTGATCCTGCAAGACATGGTACTGCTGAAACAGTTCGAAAAGCTCTGAACTTAGGAGTTAGCATCAAGATGAAGGCATTGAAGTCGTTCTTCAAAATGGAAGCTGTGAATATGAAGTCCGGACAACTTGATGATTTTGAAGCCCTAATCAAATTTGTAAATGTGGAAGATGGACTTATATGGAAAGCACTTGTGTATGCTTGCCGAATCTTCGAGATATCCACATCTACCTCCCTCTCGATGACCCCCTCGACGGAGTAAAGCTTTTTATGCTAGGTGGTATGATGTAGGAACATCATAGCTATTATTAGCTTAAGGACTAGCAAACCTTTAGATAGTTCTATTTTGCTCTATAATAGCTAGTTAATGTAAGGGAGTGGGACAATTATTGAATGAAATATTATAATCTTTGAAGCCTTAGAGCTTGTGTTTGTGTCTTTGTTCCCTAGATTGGGAAATCCCTTCTTACATACCAAACTGATGTGGTGATCGTCGGAAGAATCGGACATGTAAGAAGGGATTTCCCAATCCAGGAACCAAGACACAAACACAAGCTCTAAGGCTTCAAAGATTATAATATTTCATTAAATAATTGTCCCACTCCCATATATTAACTAGCTATTTATAGAGCAAAATAGAACTATCTAGAATATTAAAGGTATGCTAGTCCTTAAGCTAATAATAGCTATGATGTTCCTACATCACATATGAATTCTTATTTATTTCATTGATACCTTTGCACCCTCATTTATACAGCAGGAATCTATACTATACTAAACAATTCCTTCTTTGAAGCAAGAAATTACACATCAATTATGGGCAATTACGACTAGGACAAAATAAGCAAGTATTAACAAAAAAAGCACCTGTGTCTTAGGCTTCGGGACGGCTTTCTTCCTGCTTCAAAAAGCGGCTTTTTAGTAAAAAAATTTAATTTTTGTACTAGAAAGCCGATTTAAGAAACAGAAAAAAATCGTCCCAAATGAAGCCTTAACTGCAATGTGGGAAATGTGCTAGATCTTGAATTCGCTAAGCTCAATAAACCATTTCATCAAGCTTATTGAGTATAACGGCTCAATTAAGACTTAATAGATATAGATGAGAGCTTATTGATAATACAAGAATTTTGTGGGATTGGAAGTAGGGCTTCAACAAGCATGAAATAGATATAGATGAGAGCCTATACAAGATTGGATAGCTAAGCTTACACCGCAAAAAAATTTTCTTAAGTAATGGATGTGATATTACTTTCTTGCTTCTAGATGAATGAGAACCAAGCTCATGAATATTTTGTCCAATATACAAAAAAAGCTCTTCCCCCCCAACTTTGAGTTGGGCTTTTTAGTCGTTGAGCATCTCATACAAATCCTTCAAAGAGCTTTGAACAATGGAGCACTATCCTCTCCTAATCAAGAAATGAAGCGGCTAAGCCTGGCTAGCTTTCCTGTTAGTTTTCATTACATCCTCAATAGACTTTAGCAAGGTGTTCACTACAACTTTGATTTCATTGGAATTAACCTTGATTTCTTCAACAAAGGCAAAATATAACCAAGAAATTTACAAGATTTGCCTCTAAAGAGACCCAAATTATTCAACTCTATTTTATACTTTCTGAGAGAGAAAAATCTCAACAAGATCAGAGAGATTATCAAAACCGCTTTTTCTTTTCACTAAAATAACATCCCATAGGCTTCCAGATTTCTTCCCTTTTAGTTCTGAAATATGTCCATCAACCTTTGATGAGTAGCTCCTTCCCAGAACAACATTGGATACCCATTTAGGATGCTGCACCTCACAAATGAAACCAATCTCTGGTAGCTTGCTGACTTCCTCATATTGCAGCTTTGATTTCATCTAAGAACTTTAGTGCACAAAGCCCTCTGTCAACTAAGGTGGATTTAAATTTGTCCCCTTAGACAAACACTCCCCCCAGGTCTACAATGACCCTTGGCTCAACGAAGCAACCCATGGCTGTCGACAAGGATCCTTCTGTCAGGTTGGGTCGACTAACTCCTTTGAGTAAGTAGAATAGGGACCACGATGGCACGGGACGACAGAACCATGGAATCTTGATCGGGTCCAGCATACATTCCCCCACCATCCGTTTTAAGTGCAAGGTGGTAAATTTCAAATTTTAAATATCAAACCTTCCACATACCCAAGCCCATGCTTCTAACATATACCAGATAAAATGTCTCTACGTATCTGCTTGACGACTAGCCTTAATCGAAAGTTCTCTCTCATTATCGGAAGGGGTAATTAACTATAGGGGCTTGCGCCAATAGAAAACCAAAACTCATATCATAAAGTCCTCGCAAAATGAAGGTGAAATCTCTGGATATTGTCTTATCTACAATCTCAAACTTCCTAAAATTTTCCCCGCAATACTTATCGGTTACCCCCCCCCCCGAAAGCAAAAAGGAAAGCAAGGCAGTGGCGGGAGCGGGGCCGATTTTCAAAGCCGCCTACATTAAAATTGAAAGATAAATATGTTGGTGGGGGACAACAACATGGATGTTAAAAGTTATCACATTAAACAAATAACATTTATGCGAATTACAGAAAGTGACATAAGCAGCTAATTTTCCATGTAGTTGTATAAATAACTCCCAGTGAATGTCAGACACAAAAGATATATAAGCCGGAAGGTTAACAATCAGTTTTTACACCTATTCTTTCAATCGTCTAAATCATGTACACAAAGCTAAAAAAGAAACATTATCTAAACTAAACAAAAAGTTAACTAGATGCAAACCTCAGGAAAGTTAAGATGTTGTATGGAAGGCCAGCATGTACATATTCAGACCAAACCAATTGGGCACGAACTGGATCCTTTGCTTTTACACAGGTACTAAGAAGAAAATCCAGACTAATTCGACCAACACAAAGATGCAGCTCTTCTTTAATAGCTCGGAGCAACTCCATCCCAATTTCCAAGTTTGTAGGTTCATCTGACCAAATTCCGCTAAAGACCTGTATGGTGATTGAATCATAAATAAGAGAGCAAAATTAACGTAGACTAGAAGATCTCAGCAATATTCATTAGAACTCCTACATATCAAACATAAAATTTTATCAAATTACACTCTAGAAGGTGAAAACTTACATATAAGCAGGACACTCAAAAAAGCTGCTCAGCAATCTTGATATGATTCAGCAAGCTAACAAGACACTATTAAATTCTATCCACAGGCTTCGACAAAATAAGCTATTCACAAACTATTAAAAGATGTATTAAATAATTCAAAAACATAAATATTTGGGGTTAATTTTAAATATTTGCAAGTATTTAAATTCAGGCATAAAGTAAATGCATTGGACTTGGAATACTCATAGTTGTTTGGTTGATTGTTAAATAAATTCATAAAGCTACTTTTTGGCATTTGGTCTAATGTAGGACTATAATGCTTAAAATAATTTGATAAGAACTTGCACGACTTATTGATTAGAATAAAAAAAAGACTATAACTACTAGCAAATAAAATGACAAAATAAAACGTAAGAGCGGTCACTTCCGTTTAGGCTAAGTTGCACAAATAAGAGCTTTGAATTATCAAAATAACAAAGAAAATCAACGACATGCAAATATAATAGCTTTCAACGAAAATCCCTAATCTAACAATAAGATTAGAAACAAACGAAGTGCACTCAATCCTACGCTTACTAGGTCTTGGGCAACGACGAAGCAAAACCCTAAATTTACTAGCTTAGGCAAAGGTGAAGCTCGGCTCCTTGAGAATCGTCATCACCTACAAGGAGAGGAGATTAGAGAGTTAATTGAAAAGAGGAAGAATGTTCACCTTTGTCAAAAATCCGGAAACAAGTCGTTAAGAGGATGAGGTCATTCTTCGTAGCTTCCTTTGAAGGTTCAATTGGAGAGAATGAAATTTCTCCCACGAGTTGAAGTGTTGAAAACAATGATCCTTGGCTCACCTTGAAGAATCCCCTTGAGAGAAAGAAGTTTCTCTCAAGAAATCAAGTGGAGGGAAGGATGGGAAGTGGCCGGCCAATGGAAAAAACTTGGAGAAGAATTAGGTTCAGAATTTCATGATTAGGTTTAAACTAGGGTAAAAATTAGGTGGGAGGGCTGAAATATCTTTCCAAATCAAAGGCAAGAATTTGAATAGCCTAAAGGGGGAAGAGAGGGGGTGGGTAAGGCTAGCTGAAATTGGATTTAATTCCGAAGAAAGAGGTGTAATTTTGGGAAGGGAATTAATTGGGTGGGCCCTTGGAATTTCGGCCAAGAGAGAGAGAGAGGGTCCAAGTGTATAGGTGCAATGTATTTGGAGTTAAGGCTTTAATTAATCAATCCATCATGATTTGATTGATTGAGTGAAATAAGAACATTTTCCAAAATAGGATAAAGAGAAAAGGAAAGATTTGAAATTTGGAGTTAAGGCTTTAATTAATCAATCCATCATGATTTGATTGATTGAATTAAATAAGAACCTTTCCTAAAATAGGATTAAGAGAAACAAGAAAGATTTGAAATCTAAAATTGATTTATTCCAAATTCAAATCCTTTCCAAAAATAAGTTGACTCAAAAAAAGGAAAGCGGTAAAGGAATTCCAATTAACTTAAAATTCAAATGGAGTTTAATTTAGGAAACTTTCCTAAAATAGATTTTATAACTTTAGGAAAGATTTTAAATTTCAAATTGAGTGAATTTGAATTCAAAATCTATCCAAAATTATGGCAATCTAGAATAAGAAATAAATCCAAGAGAGGATAAGGGGCTAGGGGCCGGCGGCTTACTTGAGGTTCGGGTAAGGGAGCCGGCGGCTAGGTGGAGGTGACTTGGGGAGTTTTCGGTGGAAGGATGACGGGGATAAAGGTGGTCGGCGGCTTGGATTGAGGTGGGGTTAGGCGAACGGTTGGGTAGGATATGAGGAAAAATAAAAAGGAAAATAGATAACGAAGAAAACCACGAATCCGGCCGTCTCCAAGGTTGGTGGATGATCCAAATTCCCTCTCTCCTAGGGATCTCGCTCTCTCTCTAAGCACTCTCAAGATCTCTCAAGAACTCAAGCAATAACACAAATTTTTTTTATCATTCAATCATTAACTTGAGAAGAAGAACATGAGGGCGATAAATAGCCTCGCACAAAAAGGACTCAAAGATAAAAGACGACCTTGCCCTTAGAGCTAACATACGACTTCCCTTAAGCGAGGGGTAAAACAGGAAAAATAATTATAACATAAATAACAAATAACATAATAAAACAAATACATGAAATAACTCAAAACACATCGACTCGATCGTAGCCCTAGATCAACGGCCACGCCTCAGATATACTTTCATGCTCTGATGTGCCCATCATGGTCGAAAGAAAAACTAATGCAAATTTTTAATTTTTCTTAAATCAATCTAGGGCAAGCAAGATTACTACGACAAAAGAGTCAGAGGTCACAAGAAAGACACAAGTTGTAGATGGAGGTCACAGCTAGTGAACGCAACGACCCACCAAAGGTCACGTGTAGTGAAGATGGATGCGAGCTCTAGAGATCATGGGGACAGCCCCTGGATGCCACAGAGTAACACATGTCGTGGGCAAGCACAATGAATTTGGAATTCACCAAATTTGGATGAATTCCAAATTCACCAAAAATGAACTATAAGAGATTAAAAAATCTTTGGATATATACTTTGGATTTCTTTTACACTCAATCAAATACTTAAAATTTTAAAGCCTCTAAATTTCAAACATAATACACTAAATCAAATAAACCCTAAAAATTTTTAGTGATGTGAAAGGAGATATGACTCAATTTCTTGAATAATATAATTCTAAGAAAATACATGCTTAAATAATATTAATTTAGCTAACACTATCTTATTAACTCGTTGCTAATCTAGCAAATCTATAAAACCTCTTCCATCTGTCGCTAAATACCATCCAAAATAGTTAAACTTGAATAAAGGTCACATATATGATAATCAAAACGATTGTAAATTGATACAGATGATTAGGGTAGCAAGTAAATGAAGTGAAAGGAAAAGAGCAGAACAGAAAATAACAACAAAATAGAATGCAAACTTGCAAAACAACCCATAAAAAATCCAAGCCCATCTAGCCAAATCATTCATCATCATCAACAATTTGGATCTGCCTTATGTATATTCATTCTCCATATGTTCTTGTCGAGAGATGCATAAGGAGTTGAACATACTTTGGACAGATCATTTTGCACTAGTTATCCCAATGCTACCGTTGGTCTATTTCCCTTCCTATCCTTGGATATCAATGGCACATTTATTGATTCTTCTTCTACCCTCAATTGGACAAGTTTAAATACCTAATTTTATTTCATGAACCATATCTTCAATCAATTCAACTCATACCACTCAAATATAAATATTCCCCATTCTATATTCTTGTTGATTAGCCAAAAATGGTTGGGATACAGCTAACAATGATGATGATAATCCTTCTCATTTGTTTCACATGTGCATCTTAACATTCTAATTTTTGTCACACACAACTTAGCTGTCAACATCATCTTCATAGTCCAACACAAATTCATACAACATTCTAAGCCTAAGTGCAATTATAAAATTTTCACCATAAAGAATCCATGATATTTCTCAAAGCATGGTAAAAATGCCTAGCCTTAGGCATCCAACTTTAACTCTAAAAATTGCATCCTCGCCTGTGCCCCCTTTCTTCTATATGGTAGAACCAAGATCTCTACCATCAGGCAATCATACTTAGATATGTCATCAATTCTTGTCAGTTTTAGATGGAAAGCAATATTCATCATGAAAAACTTTGATCATGCAGATTTTTTAGTTGCAAATCTTGGTTTCATAAAATTTGTTCATGACCATTCATGTTGACTCAGGCTAATTCACAAGCAAAGACTAAAAACTACAACTCAATCAGACTTGTAGAAATCATCAGAACCTTCTACATCTGCCTCCATTTCTTGTTGAGTGTTTGAGAACTAAAGCTTCATTTAGCTTCCAATTTGGTTTCAAAAACCTAGAACAGCAAAATTTTGATTTGCAAGAACAAACATGCACAACCAAATGCACTAAAATGGCTTTATGTGCATGGATGGACTTACAAAGCAACTCCTCCATAGTAAAGAGTACTTTTCACCTCATGTCATGCAGCACTGAGCAACCAAGCAGTTGCCCAACATTACCAAATGAAGCCTAACACCAGCCTTGCATTACCGCATCTTTAATAAGTACTTCATACTTCTTTCCCCTTTTTTCTTCTCTATTTCATCAGAGCCTTGAAAGGATAAACAAATTCTTTATAAAATAATGCATCATTGTGCAGCATAACAAGGGAAAGGATCGCCTTTTACGGACCCAATGGCTAAAGTCAAGATCACAAAACACTTTTCTACTTTGAACTGTTTAAGCTCTATGAGATTCAATATATGGAATTTCAGGTAGTTAATTTGTTCAGGGAAAACATTCAGTGTAGCCTTATACTTATTTATAACCATCCTTCCAGTCAAAAGAAATTTTTAGTCTATCAAAACAAAACAAGGTGCAGTGTAAAATATTAAGAGAAAAAAAAAAGTAATAGACAATAGTTAAATAGAAGAGCGATATGCAACTTAGAAAATGTTATTAAATAACACTTATTAGCAACTGTAATCAGAACCTGATCAATAACAATATATGTACTCGATTCATCTTTCTTCTTGAGCTCCCCAAGTAAATCAACTGCAGGCCTGAAATACAATATATTATATAACAACACATAGCACTAATGTAAGGCTAAAGAGGACAAATTGAGACTTAAACTATGAAATGTAATGTAGCATACCTAGCTAAGTTGTGCCGCACACAATACAATACAACTCTACTGCACCCATCAAACCAATAGCTTGAATCAATTAAATCATCCAGAAGCTGCTGCAACCTATCCAAATTTCCTTCATTTTGAATATTTTCCTAAAAAGAAATGCAAATTCTTATAAACATATGTAGAGACATCATTCCCTTAATTTTAGGTTCATGAGTCTGATTAAAAGAATAATAAAATAACATACAATTAGGCTTATAGCAGCTTTGGGTTCAATTTTGTCACCAGCTTGCTTAATTTCATCATATTCGAGGAGTGCTTCAAACATTTGTCCATTTGAAGAAAGGGCTGATACGAGCACACTCTTAATTTCATTCAAGTATTTATGAGATATGCTAGCATCTCGAATCACCTTGAACCAGTTAGTATTAGAGGCAAAAAGGACATTGAAAGGAGCAAATATAGGAAAGAAGAAAACCAAGTCTCAAAGCAGAAAAAAAAAACAGAACAATTATATAAATGATTTGAAGTTGGAAGTGCAAGCTTCCAATAAATAAAACTGAAAATCACTCAGAAAGAGAAATCAAGGACATTTTCTTTAAAACAAGCTTTGAGAAAAATGATGATAAAGGAACTATGTGATCGGCATGGCCAACTTCCACTACCCCAAATAAGCACTTAGGTTATCACCAGATCATCCATGAAAATGCAAAATTCAACTATTCACCCTATTAGAATAAAGCAAAGAATGCAAATGCATGGCAGTGCCCTCAAACAAAGCCATCCTATCAATATCAAAAGTGATGGAATGTATTCTTTATAATAGGCATAATTTTCAATCTTCTAAACTTTTAAGCAGATCACTTGCTATTGCGGCTCTTGTGAAGATGTTCTTTATGTTTATTAAATTGAACTTCATAGCTAATATAGGACAATACACTTAACACAGCCACCGCCCCAACCCCCCCCCCACCCCACCCCAATGATGATACAGATGTACCAAGGATTTTTTCACTCCATTAAAGTGTTTTGATAACAACATCTAAGGTACGAGATGTAATCTGCAACTCTGTAATAAATGCACCTATGTTATGCTCTGAGAAGAAAACATTGCTGAAATAAGTAAATTGCTCTAAAAAGATCGAAGAAAAACAGGGAAAAAGGTCAGTTCAGACGTTTGCAGCTTTCCATATCACTTACTAATCTTTAAAGCTCCCCGTATCAATTATTTTGCACTGGTAATCTATTTAGAAGCAACCCAATTTACAAAATAGCTTGGCCATCCATCAGGCATTCTACAACTTTAATATGAACTCAAGCCAAATTATATCCCGAAAAAAGTAGTTCAAGTTTTCAAAGTTCAAGAGCAACATACGAAACATAAGCAATGGCTGTGTAATAGCCGAACTGAATTTGTCCATATTTTTCCTGCTCGCAAGCGAGCTGAGCATCCGCCCCTTCCTTGTCGAACTGAAGCGGCTCACCTCTCTCTGTCGCACAATCAACCGTGAGCCTCTTTCCCTTCCTGCGCAATCTCTCTCCAATCACGATAATTCTCCATTAAGGCAATTTGGATACTTAGGGCATCAAAATTGTTATTTATTTTTGTGTAAACGTACCATTCTTTGTTAGGGTTGTAATGCATGTCAATTGTAATAGGCTTCCTTATAACTATTTAGATTGTCAGTCCTATGTTGAATTCCTTAGCATAATCATACATGTAGTAACATTCGCTATCGTTCATAATGAATCAGCTTGGAATAAGCATAACTTTACCTTGATTTAATGCTCACTAGTTTTTATTCATGTAGTGAATTTATATGTTGGAAAAGTTAAATTTATCTAATTTAGCTTTGTTAAATAAAATGAACATCATTCCTGCAAATCATAGCAAATATACAAATCATATCTAACATATTGCCTTATCTAATGTTTGTTGGTTATTCATAAAAGCAATTATCTTATATGAGTGTATACATGTCGGTAGAACCCAATTGATTTTTGGCTAGCCGGGGGGCCCCAAAGTGACAACTCTACAGGAAATCACTGGATTTCCTTGGGACGGTGTTTACCTTCCCGATATGAGTATATGATAAAATCAACAATAGATATATATGTTTAAATGTAAGAAAATATAAGCAAATATGAATTGGAAATACTAAATGACTGTAGGTCATTTTGAGGTATGATGATACCAAATGTGATTGCATTTCAAGCATTAAAATAATTGCATTGATAGTGATTTGCCACATACATTAATGTCACTAACATATTAGATTTTTGTTGTAGGAAATATGGCATATGCAAGTAGTACTTTATTTTGATGACTTTAGGTTGTTACTTCTACCATTTGGTTGTCCATATTGCATACCCTACTTATTTGTCATTTATGCTTTGATAGATAGTAGTTACTTATTGAGTTTGATTTATCAAACTCACCCATTGTCTTTTTTCAGTAAGTCCTACAGGGGTGTTTGGTGGACTGACACCTCATGAGCAGAATTACTAACAGTAGACTGTTTTGATATTTATTATTTTATAGTAGTTTATTATGTTTAAGTTTTCTGAAGGTTGGATAGTTTCTTTCCTGCTTTTTGTTCTATTTATATTCATGTTGTCTTGTATCAGAACTACTGTTATTTGGATATATATATATATATATATATAAATATAATTTGGAATTCTATTAAGGAATTGACTATTTATTTCACTTCCTCAGTTTGCTCTGATGTGTGTGTGTGTATATATATATATATCATGATATATCTTTTGTATATATATACTTCTCTATGTAAATACAAAACAGGTCTTCATATCCCTTCATCATGTCCCATATTGTCGAGTTATATCGCCTTCCAGACCCAGGATGTGACAGAGTGGTATCAGAGACATTCTATTTGTATTTGATATTCCTTGACTCCTTATAATGGAGTAGTGGGTTATATTATCTTCTGGGCCCGAGGTGTGACACTATGCATCCCAGGGATAGATGTTATTGGCAAATATTGGTCAATTCAGAATATTACATAACCTGAATCCATCTTCATATAGACTAGATCACAAAAAAAAAAAACTCATTTGCATCACAACCATCATTAATATGCAAAGTTATAGCAAGATTATGAGACCCTTGTCATAAGCGCACTTCTTAGAGTAATAAAATCAACACCCCTTGTCGCTTTGTTAATCAAGATAGTATGCCCAAGTTACTAGAAGTTCATTAGACACCAAATTTGAAGAACATTTTGACTAAAATAATATGGATTTCTAAAACATTTAGGTGGGCCCACCAAGATCCTTCTCTAAGTGATATAAGAACAGTTGTTTGGCTTGTTGGCTTCCTAGGGCTATCTTTTAAATCCCCCATACTAGGACTCTTCTACCAGAGATTGGTTTAAGTCCTGTATAACCCTTTATTGCACTCATTTTGGATAAAGCAATAATTTTGTGGGTGTGATAAGATCCACCTCAAGCAGCTCTCCCTAACTGTTATAGAATTATAAACCCCAACATTCGATCAGTTCACTTGGCATATGTCCTTTGTGACACTAAAAGTCATGCCTTTCGACATCCCTCTCTCCTTGTTGTGGAGCTCCAATCAAGCAATCCTTTCAAGGAGTATAAACACCATTTCCTCTAATAAATAGCTTTTTCTATAATTATAATGTCTATCTTTGAGATCCTCTCCAAAATTTCCCCAGCTATTTTAGAGTTGTAAGTTTCACGCCGCACAACGACCCCTCTCATTCGAAAAAGAAGCAAACAAACTTTTCTATTAAATTTTGGTATACCATAATTTCTAATTACAAAAATTTTAAAAATTAAAACAATTTGCTAGAACTAAAGTTCCAAAGTTTTTCATTTATTTAACTACAGAGCTTCTAATACACATCAATATTCCTTTGTAGACCATCAAAACTTTCATCACATACATATAAGTTTATGTTTTATCTTACACAAAATTGTACACACTAAAAATGTAGTCCATCAAAATATACTCTTCATTTAGGTTCTACTTTGTCCATTACTTAATCTAAAATAACATTCAACAATAAATTACAAAGGATGGCAAATGTGATACTATCTGATGCAGACAAACTAGATTGAAAAGCCAGATAATGAGAACAATGGGCAAAACTATAATCAAACTCGATTCAAATAATAACAATATCTATGACATCAAAAACCGGCGGATAAAACGAGAAGAGAGATCAAAAGAAAAACAAAAGAAATATAAAAAGACGCTATCCTCAGAACAACCGACAGAACGGTTTCCTCACATGCATCGAAATGTAGGCTAAGTAAAGTATGTGCTTAGGGCTAGCAAGCCGATGGTCCACCACAGCAAGATAGTCCAAACGTCCAATCAAACTCCTCCAGCAAATGCTCCCAAATCAGCCAACAAACACCTCCAAAGCTCAAGAAGAATGATACAAATGGAGTGGAACTTGCGTAGAAAAGAAAGAGGTAAGAAGCCCAGACGAAATAGAGGAGAAGAAGAAGTGGACAAAGCTCTCAAGCTTTTCCAAAAAGAAGAAAACCCTCAGGTTTTTTAAGAGACAAAGCTCAACCAAATTCAACAACATTTGCCTTCAAAAATCATCTACTATATATAGGCAAGAGAGGGGAACCAAACAGCCATATCACCTCCAAATAAGACAATAAGATTTAGGGAAAAGAAAGGTCAACAGACACTTCAACAATTCCCAAACGGCACAGCAAAACAGAGGAAGGAATCACGGGAACCAAGCAGAAAACCCACGGAACCAAGCAGAGAACCGCGGAACCGAGCAGCCAAGAACGGAACCAAGCAGCCAGCCGCAAAACCGAACAGCCAGCCACGGGAACCAAAGGGGCAAGGCACGGGAAATCACCCAGCACAGGGAAATGAGAAGAAAAGGGGGAGGAGAAGAGGCAAGTCCACTCCAAATGGAATCCTTGATTTAAAGCATACCTTTTTGGAATAATGAGCTAGGAAGCTCAATAAATCTCCCAATAAATGAACTAAACTTCAGCTCAACATTAATGAGCTAGCAACTTAGGAAAATAAAGCTCAACTCCAATAAATCACCACCTCCAAACATCATCATAAGCTCAAACCGAGAACCATAAGCCAACCCGAGAACCAGCAGCAGCTCAAGGGACCAAACAAGCTAGCAAACCAAAGGTTTACCAAAGCCCAAGCACAACCTACCATGATCATTGGATGCCTTCCATCATTAGATAGCTAAAAAAATATAAAAACTAAATAAAATACTAATGTTCAATATTTGAAAATGAAAATACAAAAATTATGAATGCATCAATTCCCCCCTGGTGGGAGAGTCTCATCTCCGGATGAGAAAGCTTCAATAACTTTCTGAAAAAGATCAAGATGATGCCGTTTTAGCTCATTAGCATCCATCCAAGTGCAGTCGGTTTGAGGTCGATTCTTCCATTTTGCCAAGAACCTCTTATGCTAACCATGCCTTGTTTTAGAAATTCTGATATCAATAATATCTTCAACCTGTTCTTCAGATTTTGCCCTAGAAGTGGAGGGTGACAAAGTTTCAATTTCTACAGAATCATCAGAATTTCCTTCATATAAAGAAAGGTCAGAAACATTAAATACAGGAGAAATGCCAACAGAAATAGGTCGATCCAACAGATAGGCATTTGTGCCTAATTTTCGAAGCACACGAAAAGGTCCAAATCTCTTTCTGCTTAACTTTCTAAAAGTACCAACAGGAAATCGTTGGCGACGAAAGTAAGCCATAACCAAGTCACCCTCATTGAAAATAACCTCTTTTCGATGTTTATCAGCAGTAGATTTGTACTTAGCATTAGCCTTTTGGAGTTTTTCAAGGACTTGTTGTTGGACAGTCTTTATGTGGTCAAAAGTTTCAAAAGCTTCAGCACTAGTTTTGTTAGGTAAAGGCAAGCAGTTTCTATCTAAAATGTGAGGAATAGGTTGTCCATAAATAATTTCAAAAGTAGTTTTACCAGTGGAACAATTAACAGAATTATTATAAGCAAACTCAGCTTGAGGCAAGACTAAATCCCATTGGGATGGTTTTTCTCCAACAAGACACCTTGATAAATTTCCTAAGCTTCGATTGACAACTTCAGTTTGCCCATCAGTTTGAGGATGATATGCACTACTAAATTGAAGAGTAGTCCCAAGTTTTGCCCAAAGAGTTCTCCAAAAAAGACTCAAAAATCTAGTGTCTCGATCAGAAGTAAAAGTACGATGAACACCGCGAAAACGAACAATTTCTTTAAAAAACATACCAGCAATGTAAGAAGCATCAAAAGTTTTCTTGCAACGAATAAAATGTGCCATTTTGCTAAAGCGATAAGTGTGTGCCATTTCTTTTTCTCTCCTAAAGTCTATTATTTTGAAAGTTTTTCCACCAAATTAAGGCATGACCAGAAAGTTTTAGACTAGCAAAGCGAACCTTCCTATTATCAAGTATTTCTTTCCAATCAAAAAATCGATCCATCTTTTCTACCCACTCAAGGAATTGATCGGGTTGAAGTTTTCCCTCAAAGTTAGGAACATCAATTTTTATTCCATGATCCCAATTTCTTTGTTGCCTGTGTTGATTTCTATGAACCTCCTCTTCACTTTCAGAATTTTGCACATTAGGATTAGCATTATTAACATTCAGATTTTCAATTGCTTCAGCCATAGTGTTGATTTGTTATTACAAATGATTCAATTGTTGCATTAAATTTCGCCAATCCCCCAGATTATTAGCCATCTTAAAATTTTAGAAAAGACCCACCAAACAACAACAAGAAACCAACAAAACACACCAACCAAGGATAAGAACTTGCTCTGATACCAAACTTGATGCAGACAAATAAGATTGAAAAACCAGATAAGGAGAACGATGGGCAAAACTATAGCCAAACTCGATTCAAATAGTAACAATCATCTATAACATCAAAAACCGACGAATAAAATGAGAAGAGAGTCAAAAGAAACAAAAGAAATATAAAAAGATGTTATCCTCAGAACAACCGACAGAACGGTTTCTTCACATGCATTGAAATGTAGGTTAAGTAAAGTATGTGCTTAGGGCTAGCAAACCGATGGTCCACCACAGCAAGATAGTCCAAAGGTCCAACCAAACTCCTCCAGCAAATGCTCCCAAATCAGCCAACAAACACCTCCAAAGCTCAAGAAGAAGGATACAAATGGAGTGGAACTTGCGTAGAGAAGAAAGAGGTAAGAAGCCCAGACGAAATAGAGGAGAAGAAGAAGTGGACAAAGCTCTCAAGATTTTCCAAGAAGAAGAAAACCCTCAGGTTTTTTAAGAGACAAAGCTCAACCAAATTCAACAACCATTGCCTTCAAAAATCATCTACAATATATAGGCAAGAGAAGGGAACCAAACAGCCATATCACCTCCAAATAAGCCAATAATATTTAGGGAAAAGAAAGGTTAACATACACTTCAACAATTCCCAAACGGCACAGCAAAACAGAGGAGGGAACTCACAGGAGCCAAGAAGAAAACCCACGGAACCAAGCAGAGAACCGCGGAACCAAGCAGCCCAGCACGGAACCAAGCAGCCAGCCGCAGAACCGAACAGTCAGCTACGGGAACCAAAGGGGCAAGGCACGGGAAATCACACAGCACAAGGAAATGAGAAGAAAAGGGAGAGGAGAAGAGGCAAGTCCACTCCAAATGGAATCCTTGATTTAAAGCATACCTTTTTGGAATAATGAGCTAGGAAGCTCAATAAATCTCCCAATAAATGAACTAAACTTCAGCTCAACATTAATGAGCTAGCAACTTAGGAAAATAAAGCTCAACTCCAATAAACCACCACCTCCCAACATCATCATAAGCTCAAACCGAGAACCATAAGCCAACCCGAGAACCAGCAGCAGCCCAAGGGACCAAACAAGCTAGCAAACCAAAGGTCTACCAAAGCCCAAGCACAACCTACCATGATCATTGGATGCCTTCCATCATTGGATGGCTAAAAAAATATAAAGACTAAATAAAATACTAATGTTCAATATTTGAAAATGAAAATACATAAATTATGAATGCATCACTATCGCACATATGCCTCAACAAATTTGATGGGATTTAAGTTGATTTATAGGCATCTGCATATTGTTAGGAATTTATTTTCAATAATATACATGAAGCATCAGCATATCAACATTAAAAGGTAGCAAATTCATGCATGCGAATTTGATCATAATGATGCTATAATAAAGTGATTACAACATATAAGATGCAACAAAGTCCATTCACAACTACCGAGATGAAAAGCACAAATTCATGATTTATGATTAAATTCATGATTAAGAGAATTCACAGGAAGAACAAAATCATAATTAAAACTAAAATAGATTTACAATTATAGATTTAAAAATGAAAGAAATTTTAAGGATAATAAGGTTTACCTGTTTAGCCTTTTCAAATTTCCCGAAGTTAGCATATGCATTAATTAGTGCCATGTAAACATATTTTGTTGCCTGAACTCCTTCGTGTTGCATTTCAGCATGATACTGCAAGCACACCCAAAAAACATTTGATATATAGTCCAATCCGTAGCAAAATTGGCATCCAAATGAAACTGTGGTATGTTGTAACAGGAGGATGCTTATGACACTTGACAAGATGTGCAAAATAACCATATAAGCATGAAAATTTCTAAAACAATTGAAAGGCACTCAATGATCCATATAGATGAAAGAGATTTTTTTTTTCTAATAATTATAATGCTACTATATCAAATAAACATAGCATCCAAGCTTTTTTTTTTTTTTTGCGATAAACTCATTAATTAATAGAGGTGAGGTGCGGATCACCATGGCCCAGCAAGAAGCAGACTGCACAGTAAAGTGTAATTAAATAGGCAAAATGCTCGCAACATTTTTGATTTATTGTGAAATGTGTTCCTCAATTAACAGAAGCATGCGGTTTGTTTTTGATTCCTACATCAAAGCTAAAAAGCCCTATGTGTGTTGCATTTTGCATTACCAGTTGACAAATAGAGAATAAACAAAACTGAAAATATGTAATTCAGAGAGAGAATCTGCAGCCCAACTTCACAATTTCACAATTAAAGTGAATTACATAAAACTAGAACTAGGTGACTTATAAACATAATCTACAGCTCAGATTCACACATATGCATTATTATCATTTACCACACTTGCAATCATATAAACCACGACTTTGCCTAGAATGAACAAGAAGAATCGGAGCTTTTACAAATGTTTAAGGTATTTCCACAAATACTCCCAGCGAACCAGATCTAGTGTAAGTTTCCAAAACAGTTCTAATCCGTACGAGAAAACTTAAATCTTTAAAGGGGGATATTATAGCCAATTTATAATTCTCCCCATTGACTCTACAGTAAGGCATAATTTGGATCACTCCCATGATATTCTTCAAGCAGAGCACACTAACCTCTCATTGCACCGAAGGACTCAGCACCATGCAATATCTACAATCCAAGTTATTATTTAAACTGAATACCTAAACGAGACCTGTATCATAAATATTTCCCTCTATAGTAGTACCATCTAACCAGAAAATACACCTAACACTAAATATTGGCATCCCTAATACAATTTTTTCCTCACTCTGAATGTTACAATGATAGGAGCTATCACTCAAACAAACTCTATACTGCATAATTCACATGACCAGCTAAAGTCTTCCAAAATTGTTGTGGAAATTTTCTTTCTTAAAGATAAGTCTATTTTCCCAAAATGTGATACACTAGCGGAGATGACGAAATACTTAAAGCAACCCTTGAAGTTGCACGATGCAGCTGATACGTCAGGGAGGGCACCTTATGGGGATCAGAGGAGTTAATATTCACTATATATGGAGGATGAATCAAGGGCAAGTGGTTTATAAAATTAAAATTGGGAGGGAATTATTTAGGAAAAAGAGGCTGATTTGAAATTAGATTAAAGGTTTATTTAAGGAAAGATGACTTATTTGAATTCGGATTTGTGAGGGTATTATGAATGATTTATTTAGGGGAAATAAGGCTGATTTGAATTCAGATTTGGGAGGAAATTAGGAAGGTTTTATTTAGGGAAAGAGGGTTGATTTGAATTCAAATTTGGGAGGAAAATATGATGGTATATTTGAGGGTAATTAAGTTATTTTATTTTTAGGATGTGAGTTATATTTGTTGTAGTTTTCTTAGGAGTTGTTCCTGACAGTGTTTAGGGTTTGTGGGAGAGCTGATATACCTCTCGAATAGTAGATCACTTGTATTTTTTATTTAAGTTTAAGAGATAATAAAAAATCAATCATTGTCTTTGTATTCTAGCAATTTTCTTCCTATCTATTTGTTGTTTTTTACTTCCGGGACGCATCAACAACACAAAATCTACCAAGTCTTCTAGATCAACATTTCAACAACCAAATAAATAGTGAGCAAATCTTGAGGATTTTAGTATCCCCATAACGCTTGAACCCCGCATCGCCAGATGTATCCAAAAATACAAAAATCACTCCCATAACATGAAAAATAGCACCCCAACCCAAGTTTTAGACATAGCATCTCATGAAATAAAAAATACCCAAACTTAAAATCTTACACACACCATTATTTCTCAAATACATATTGTGGATTCCTCATGTAGTGTGTGGGAGAGGCATTGGATCATACTATCTCAGAGGTCGAAAACAATCATAAAAATTTTCCTTTAAGGGAAACTAAATCATGCATGCATTTATCTTTGGAGCACTTTATGAAGAGGAAAGAACATATAAACTAGGAGGTTAAAAGGCAAATCACCCCATGAACTAAAAAGACAAATATGTTTAACTAAGATAGAGTTTATTTCAACTCTAGATATAATTTACCATGGATACAAACCTTCATGATTAATTATATCTTGAGTGTGAAACTCAAGGAAAACTCTCAATTCCAGATATTCATTTGCATTTATGATGAGGATTTGGATGTTTATCCTAAACAATGGAAGATAAGCTTAAGGGTTGTTCATCACATCAAGCCCCACAACGAGGTAAAAGCAAAAGGAAAAGAAGATGGCCAGATGACGCCAACGGGTGATATAGATATGCAAGGATTATAGCTCACAAAGCGAGGAAAGCCCAATATAGGACTACTCGATATTAGCTCCAAGGAATGAAAATTGAATGATGGGCATATGTTTCCGGAAGGAACCAGAAGTAAGCTGCCTAAACTAATAAAGTAGTTTAGCACTACGATAAAACCTCCTATAATCCAAATCACATGAAAAGTCCCAAAAGGGATAACAACAAGACTTAACCTTTGGAGAGGATGGAATTCCTTCTAACTCTTCAAAGATTTTCAATTATGATGCCAATTCTCAATGAAATAAAAGTAGGCTAGCTAATAATGAGTAGATGATGCATATGAGGGACTACAAATGTAATATACAAATATAGTGATTCTAACTCTATATGTTGATGTGACTCAAGTCATACAATATGTTTTTCGACCAGGCTCAATCAAATAGGCCCAAGGCATATGACTTGAATGCCTGCATGTAAACGCTAACACACCTTTATGCTAAGTCATGGCTAGAAAATGTATATTTTACAATTTTTAGTCAAAAATGGCAAAGGATAGCATTAAGAAACAAGCTTAAATTGATTTTTAGCTCTTAAAATCTTGTTAGAGGACCTAAGAATTTCATCCAAAATGAAAATAAAAGGGAAAACACAAGAAGGTAACAAAGAAATGTAGCATTTTTTAAATCTTTAGGTAAATCTAATAAAACCATAAATAGAGGAAATGTGAATTGGAAAGAAGAATTGCATTAAATATTTAAGTTCTTACACTCTCAGTCTTTATCCTACTCTCTCCAACAACCAAAGACAGACATCAAATACCTATTTTACTATAATGAAATTAGGATACTACCATAGCATTTAATATTTTCAAATTATTATTACAATAAATCAAATAATTTGTATGCCTATTATAACAATAAAGCAAATATTTTGCAACTCCTAAGGAGATTGGAATCACAAAGAGGGTTACATGTAAAAAGGTGGTGGATGAACAACATGACAAAAATTGCCCATCTCCCTACAACTCAGATTGAGAGCCTGTATACTCATAATCAACAAATACATAGCAAGATGATCGTATAAATCAGCATGCGAGTGTAGTGAGTCTTGTGAATCCTAAAGGGCATCCACAAATTGCCAGCTCAAGGAAGCCAACAAGCTAGTGAAAGCGGGGCAACAAGTTAAAGTTGACTGTCAAGTTTGGCATTGCTTGTGGGAAGGTAATGAGTTTAACTTATGGAGCATAAGTGTGTGCGTAAATTTTTGACATGTCGACGAATATAAGTTGGTTCAAGCAAGCTAGAGTTGTCACGCGGGAGAGAAGTCGTCCCAGTGTGGCATGTAGAGATGTCTCCTAAAATCAACGAATTTGCCTTGCAAAAGGCAAAAGCTTCCAAAAAGATAGCGAGTAGGTGAAGTTGAAGTTGTTGGCTCAATGGGTCTAGGTGCAGGATCTGCAACAAGAACAAAATAGCTAGAAGCGCACACCCGAAAGATAATGGGAAAATAGCATAATGAATACTTCCTACGATACTCCAATCGTAGCAAAAGAAATACTACATGTGGGCCATGTGGCCTCCCAAGATGCGGGAAACTAAAAGCACCAAGAGAGGAAAGAAATTGATGACCACAAGAAGTAGTTTGCTTGAGTTGCTCACCACTAGGCTAAAAGGGGGTTGAATAGGCAAGGAGGTGTAGGCAAGTTATGGACCAACAACTAGAACAACTAGGAAATTCAAAAACTAAAAGGTTGGAGAGCTCAAAGTCGGAGGGTTCCCAACAAAAGGAAATAAAAGTCAATGGAAAACAACCAAGCAACCAGCAACCAATTAAAATTCAAATTTCTAGGGTTTAAGGGTCAAAGGATTGTGCAGCCTTTGGTATCTCTACAGGTCAAGGTTGTGTAAGATGGTGAGCTGGAGGAGAGTGTGGTTAATGAACTTTAGCTACCACGCCATAAAACAAAATAGAGGGATAAGCACAACATTTTCTTGGTTTTGTCGTTTTTAGCATTGAAAAAAGAAATATTTGGAAGAAAACAAAGACAATGAATGGCTCAAGGAGTGACATCAGTGAAGAGGCAATCCCCTGAGCCCAATAGCTTTGAAAAGTTAATTTTGTTTGATCTTGTTTGTTGAGGCGCACAAGAGGTAGGAGATCAAGTCGCCAGCATAGTATTGAAGGTGACATGAAAATCAACGAGAGATGTCAAGAAGGCGACTTTCTCGAGACAACTTGTCAAGTTCTCAACAAAATTCCAGTAGTCGAAAAAGAAGAGAAGTCAAACAATGAGGAAAGCAACTCTGAGATGAAGCCCACCTAAATCGGAAGTCAGCAAAGGGAATGTCGAGATGCTAGAAGGTTAATTTGAAATTGATCATTGGAGAAGGATGATTGAAAGTCTGATATAGAGGATAACTTGTTTAATTGCTAGTAAGTCAAAATCGCAGCAAAGGCACAATGATGTGAAGTGAAA